ATATATTGATCTACACTTTCATTATTATACACTTCTAATATAGCCACTAGTAAGTTTCGTGCACAATCTGTATTAATTAAAAAAGGTACTGAATTGGAATTAAACAATTCTAATTCCTTTTGTCTATATATGTGTAGATATCTTTGAAGGTTCTTTGAAGATAAATCATTTGTTACTAACTCAAATACATCTACTGGCGGTGCATCTGAAGAATTTTCATTTGATGGCATCGTGAAAAAAGCATTTAAAATTCTTTTGTTGTTCGAATTATTTAATGGTGTAAGATATTGAGGTACAGGTTTTACTAATTGACCTGTATAATCCAAAAAAATTCCAGGATTATTATTTACATTATAATGATAATATGTGATTCCTGCTTCATTAAATATCATGACTGATAAAGGTTGTGTTTGAATTGGTTCTTGAATAAAACCCCATAATCGACGTTTGTTAACTAAATCAGCTCCATTAATCTTAATATAATCATCCTTTTCTTTGCCATTTATATCTCCTATGGCTGCATGTAACCGTTCACATAAATTGTAACCCGATTCATTTTTTTCTTTTTCAGAATAAATTGTTCGAGCTGAATGAGCTGATGGTATACCTTGACGATTGCCAGTATAACGAACTTCATTTTTAACGTTTGATAGTATTTTTTTTCTCATCTGTCGGGGGGATTTAAATTCTACTGATCTCGATAATACTTGTCTAGCATATCCTCGACATTGACCAAAAATTTTTCCATCTAAATGTCTACATTGCCTTTTATTTGTTGAATATATTACATTAATTTTAACAAACTCTTTTGATTGAATTAAATCAATATTATTAATGATTATTCTGAATAATGTTTGATTTTTTTTATCACATCCTCCACAATAGCAGTATTTAATCAAATTTTTATTTGTTTCAGATGTTTTTAGAACAGAAATTGAAATTTGTGGTGGAAACTCAGACTGTCCTTTAAGTAATTCAACTAAATAATAATTACTAATTTGCCAAGGCCTCCAATGATAATTACAGTTTTCAATATTATATATAAATAAAGATGACGCTTCTTCTTGTGATATTGTAAATTGAAAATCCTTAGCCTCCGGATAAATTAAATAACCATCTAATTTATCAATATTGGGAATATATTTATTGTCAACGCCCATAAATAATCCAATTATATTATTTTGAACTTCGTCATAATTTTCATTTTCTGTAATTATATTATTATTAGATTCTAATTCATCTGTAATTATATTATTATTATTATTAAATTCTACTTCATCTGTAATTATATTATTATTATTATTAGATTCTACTTCATCAACTGCTAAATTAATATAATTGTCCTGAAAAGATGATGATAGTAGATCTTTAGGAATAGTTTTTTCCAAAAATTGTGGTAAATTTGAATCGTAATATGATGATTTTTTCTTAAATACCGGTACAAAATGATTAGATTTACCGCTATTTTGAAAACTTGTTGCAGAAAGAGAACTCCACATAATAATACATGGCGGATAGTAATGTGGATTTTGTCTTGGCATTATAACACAATTATAAATCCGATTCATAAATTCACTTCCAGTATTTGGAAAAAGAGATTCTACTGGTCTATGCAATACTGATGCTAAACCAAAAAACGCAACCATTGAACACCAAGAATGTGGCTTGCACATTAATTTTAATTCAGCAATGTATTCCTGAGTTTTTTTAAACATATCAACTTTTTCCATATTTGTATTTAACGCTTCATCTCGATAAAGTACATCTTGTTCAAAAATTTTTTGTTGCAAATAATAATCTGCATTAGCCATTAATTCAATCATTACAGCTAAACGTAATTGTATATGATTTTCTTCATGCCCATAGACAATCAATGAGGCGCTATTAAAAAAGCAATTTCCATCTGCGGTAGATCTAATACAAACATAATCTGCATATTTTTCAGGAATTAGTTTCATTGCCTCATCATCTCTTCTATTGTAATCCCACTCTTCATAAATTGTTCTAAAATTAGTCGGTAATAAAATGTTATTAAGATCAAATTGATTACCATATGTAATGATATCATTAAGCGTAATATTATTTCCACAAAAAAAATCAAAAATATCGTACAAAACGTTTTTTGCTGTAGTTGAGTTCATTTTTGTTTATAAAAATTTTGTAAACACGTAAAAAGTATGTTGAAAACGTGGAAAAAATTATGTAAAAAGATGTTTTTATATTTTGCTGTGACAAAAAGACAAGATAAAAGATGTTTCTTTGTTTTATTAGGTAAAACGAGTAAAAAAGTTTTTTTTTTATTGGTGAAAAAGCGAAGAAATAAAGTGTCTATCTATATAAAAAGAAGTAAGAGTTATATTTTTATGGTAATAGAACATTTAAAATTTAGTAATAAATCCTTTTACAGTAATAGAACATTTAAAGTTTAGTGATAAATCCTTTTACAGTAATTAAACATTCGTGTTCCTTAAGTTTATGGCATAAACGAAAGCATATATATTAATGCATTAGTTAATATTGTCACATTTTTGTACGCAGTAAATAATATTCCATATGAACATCTATGTATAAGCCACCTTCAAGCCACTATTCTCACTGGGAAAATCAACCAACAAAAAATCATGTAGTTTTCCGAAAAATTCGGAAAATCTTTCTGAAAAATACATGATTATTACATTCCGTATGATTAATTTTTTCCGTATATATTAGTTTTTTTAAAAAATGTTCAAAAATGAATTGCTTATTAAATATACGGAATTTGTATACGGAATCTATAGAAACGTACATAAAATGTATACAAAATGTATCCTTTCCGTATACATATTTCTTATAGGGTAGGGGCGTAAAAGATGGGACAACTCGTTACTTGTAATGGTGTTAGGTAGTTACTTCTAAATGGAGTATAGTATTTTTTTTAATTAGTATGGCGACTACTTGTTTTTATATCTCCTCAGTACTCGTCTATATAATAAAAATAAAAATAAATAAAATTTTTTCAATCCGAAAATTTTTTTTAATATTTTTAACTTTCCCTTTACGGTTTTTTTTTGAGTTGATCTTTTTTCTTTTTTTCAGTTTTTTTCAAACTGAATTTTTTCTTTCAAAGATTTAATATTTTAATTTTCCTTTTTCGGTTTGGTCTTTTTCAAACCAAAAGGATTTATTTTATCACTATTTAGGTTAGATTGGTGCTGCAAGGTCACGGATAAGCGCTGTTTCTTTATTTTTTTCCCTTAATAATTTTTTTTTGTTCCTTTGACTTTCGTCTCTCAGTTTTTGATCAGGAAAGGATCATTGTTGCGAAATAATTGAAATAAATATACAGTATATCTGATATATTTTTTGTTTAAATAAATTATAGTCTTTTAATTAGAATAAATATAAATACATTTATTTAATCATTATAATTATGATAAATTTAAGTATTATTTGTAGAAAAATAAATAGTATTAAATTTCGAAAAAAATATCGTTGTGATTAATTATATCTTTAACTCAAGCAAGGTTTCCATTTCTTTTCTTGAAAAGTATTTATCTTCAAAAGTTTTTGGATGGAACATTTATCATCTCTGTCAAATCGGTTATATCTATTTGAAATATAGCATAAATAATAAATGAATAATTGATGATTTATTCTTCAAATTATTTCTTTTTTAGTAAAATAAAAATATACCATCTAATAAAACCATTTCTTCAATTGGAAGTTGAGGATTACGGATTACGTGCACGTGCAATTATTGAAAGCTGATACTCAATCCAACCTAATACTTCAAGTTTTACCACATATTTATATCAGAATCTTATAATTAATATCATATATTACTAATTTAAAAGTTAATAGAAAAAAGAATTTTAGCAATTAATATAAATTTTAGTGTAACATTTTTTAATATTTATTTTTCAAATAACATAATCATACTTATTTCCATTTTGTATGGGAAAGTCTAAATAAAGTTCTTCATTTTTAGAATATATCATCTTAAGCTTATCATTTAAATTTGTTGTTAATTTTGATATAAAGTAAACTTGTGGTTTTTAAAATAATTCATTATAAATTAATATATATTAATTACTATTCACTTTAAGAAATTAATGAATTAAATATTCTCCTACTTTCATACATATGTTTACTAAATCCATAAACAATTCCAAGTTTAGAAAAATCATTATTACAGATGGTGACCTAAATTATTCGGACACGTGATTATCTCATCGTCCAGTGATCCAAATTTGATGAATAAAGGCTCATTGGATACGTCTCATCAAAACGAGTCAAATGGTGGTTAGTTCATGTCTCTAGCATCGATAGATCACGTGATAATTGCTAAAGCGTCCAAATTTTCTTAAATTAAAAATTGCGACTGGAATACATTTGTGATATTATCTCGTCATCTAGTGATTCAAATCTGACGATTAAAGACTCATTGGATTTGTCTCATTGAGGCGAATCTAATAATAGCTAGTTAATGTCTCCAGGATCGATGGATGCGGAGATATATTTAAAAACAGGTTTTAGACGTTTTGGCAATTACCCTGTGATCTATTGGGGCTAGAAGTGCGTGCTGACCACCATTCGATTCCTCTTGATGAAACGAATCCAATGAGTCTTTATTCATCAAATTTGAATCACTGGATGACGAGATAATTACAAGTGTCCGGATAATTTTGGTCACCATCTGTACTATTATTAACATTCAGAAATCTACACATTCTTTTAATAAATAAATACATGAAATATATGAAGTAATATAAATCCTATTATGATATATATGTGTATAACAATTGCTTTGCTTCATAGTACATTACTAGCAATTCTATATATATTTTATATTTAATAAAAATAGTAATTTGCTACTATCTTTAGAGATTTTACTGATATATCATCAGATAATAATATCTTTTAATTGTATAACTGATAACATGATAGACACTTGAGATAATGTGCTAAATTATTTAATGGTTCCAATTGTATAACTTTATTAAGATCAACAAAACATTGTCATATTCTTGAAAAATATAATACACAATAGTTCTTTTACTTAAATTATGAATATTCCTTCTTTTCAGTTTGTCTTTCTGAATTTTATTTTCGAATTTATTTTTTCAGTTTTTTTTTTAAAACTGAAATATTTTTTCAATTTTTATTTCAGATTTTTTTTAAACTGGTTTTTTTTTTAATTTATTTTTCAGTTTGGTTTTACAAAACTAAAAATTTTTCTTTTAATTTGGTTTTTTTAAAACCAAATTTTTTTAATTTTTTTTTTCCTTTATAATCTATACTATTTTTTTTGTATAATTTTTTTAATTTAATTTTATATACTGTATTTTTCTGTTATTGTTATATGAGTACATTCTTTTTTTTTAGACTTGAATCTAAATCAGTGATCGGATTAATAGTGGCGTTATGATAAGCCTTTTTTTTCAATCCTCATTTTCAATAATAATTTTTTATTGCTAATATTTTTTCATTCTTTCACCCTTTAGATTTGGATCAGTGATCAAATAGATGCTGTAGTACTATTGTAAGTATCTCCGATTTTTATTTTAATAATATTTTTTTCCTAATTAATTATTTACTTTCTATTTTTTTTTCGATCTTTTACCTTTTAAGTTTGGTCAAGATCAGTGCTGTCTAAAGTTTTAAATTATCAGTTTAAATTGAAGTTTATTTATAATAAATAAAATGAATTTACAAATTTTAAAATATAACAAATGAAAGAAAATGAAAAAAATAAAACAGTATTAATTTAAAAAATTAAAAAAAAACAGTCATAGGTAATTAATTATATCTTTCAGCTCAAGCAAATTTTCCATTTCTTTTCTTGAAAAATATTTATCTTTAAAAGTTTCTGGAACATTTGGACACCATTCATGAAAATTTGGTAATATATCACCTACTATATTAGGAAAATAAGTTATCTTTTCATCATTATACAGTTTATACCCATTTCGAACATAATCTATTTGCTATAAATAAATAAATAATAATGAGTTACTAAAACCAATTTTCTTTTTAAATAGAAAGTTTACAAGTAAAATAGAAATATACCATATTAATAGAACCATTTATTTTAATTGAAAGTTGTACATATTTGTAATATACATTTTCTGAAAGCTGATATTCAATCCAACCTAATCCCTCAAGTTTTAACATATCTTCATATTTTAACACATGTTCATAATGTTTTAGTTCGAAATCCTTATACTGTTCAGAATTCTATAATAAATCCATATATTAATTAAAAATAACATTTTTAAATTTTAATAGTGAAAAAAGAGATTTTAGCAATTAATAAAACTTACAGTGCTTTTAATTATAAATTTTATAAAGCTATCTTTATTTAGTACTTCTTTAACACTTATTTTCCAAATAACTCTATAACTATAATTAAAATATAGCATGGGCAAATTCAAATAAAGCTCTTCATTTTTTGAACTTATTATCTTTTCTGATAAACTAAGAAATTGAAAGTTAAAACATCTACCACAATTTTTGAAAATTTAATAAATATCCACTTACCTATTTATATCATTTTCTTGAAGTTGATGAAGTTTGCTATTTAAATTTACCATATTTGATATAAAATAAACTCGTATTTCTAAAATAATTTATTATAAATAATCAAAAAGATTAATTATTAAATATTATAAGAAGTTAACAAATTAAACATTCTCTTACTTTCATACATGTATTTACTAAATTCATTAACAATTCCAAGTTTGGAAAGATCATTATTGTTATTATTAACATTTAAATATAACCAAAAATCTGTGATTTCTCGTAATAAATAAGTATATGAAATATATAAAATAATCCTAGAATAATAAAGATTTTTATCATATAACAAGTTCAAGTCTAACATTGCTTCATGATACATTTTTAATTCTACATATACTTTGCATCTAACTAAAATTAGTAATTCGCTATCTTTAATATTAGAAATTTGATTAATTCTTATCAATATATTATTTAATTCTGTAGAATTATTTTTATTCAGTAAATATTCCAGATGAAATAGTTGAGTTTTTGCTAATGTATCATTAAAATCTAATAATTCTTTACACTTTTTAAATACCATTATAGCATTATCAATATCTCTTTTTGCATAATAAATTAGACACCTGAGATAATATGCTAAACTATTTAATGGATCTAATTGTATAACTTTATCAAGATCTAATTAAACTTTATTATAATCTTGAAGAGTATAATATGCAATAGCTCTCTTATTTAAATTATGAGTATTTTCTGGATCAATAATATTTGCTTTTGTAAAATATGATATAGCTTTACTATATTGTCTTATATTATATAAAATTTCTCCATAATAACATAAAATTAAAGAATCATCCTTGTTGGTATTCAGCAGTTTGTCTAACTTTTCTAAAGCACGATTATAAAGATTAATCTTTGCATAGTTACATGCACTATTCTTAAGACATAAATAATTATCTGGACTATTTTCTAATACAATGTTATAATTATCATATGCATCATAATAATCTTTATTAAATAAGTAACTATTTCCAAGTATTATATATAATTTATTTATTTTAGCCTTATAATTTTTTGATTTTTCTAAATTATTTATTGCTTCATTATAGTTACTTTGCCAAAAAAATATTTCTCCACAAATTAAATAAGCAATTGGTTCTTTTGGTTTTAAATTAATTGCTTCTTTCAAATAGAAGTGTGCTTGTTCATAATTTTTAAGACATCTATAAATATAACCTAAAATACATCTTAAAGAATAACTTTTAGGAAAAAAATTTAAAAATTCTTTACATAATGATTCAGCTTTTTCATAATGTTTTTCATTTATTTCTTTTATAATATTTTGATATGTTGGATGTTGTTTTTTTGAATTTCTTGAAAGTATTGATGATAATGATATATTTGAATTTAATTTAATAATTGAATTTATAGATTTCTTCTTTTTAGCTAATATAAGATCAGCTTCTGAATTATCTGAATCATCACTATCATATATTTGATCAGAATTTTCTGATTTAATCGGAGGTATAATATGTCCAGATTCAGAAAATTTAGTATATAAATTTTTATAAATAGAAATTTGTGGTAAATATCTGATATCATTTTCTTCAATTTTTTCTCGACATTTAGGACAAATTTTTTGTTTTAATAATTTTAAATTATTTAATGATAATATATGTTGACATTTTAAAATACATAATTGATCCTCTGGTTCACTACTAATTGGACAAGTCATTTCATCTGCTATAATATCTATAACTTTAGAATTTGATGTCTGTTCTCTCTTTAAATATGAATTTTTATTTAAACTTTTTCCTTTTCCTTTTCCTTTCTTTTCTTTTCCAATATTTTCACTTGAAATTTTTAAGTCTTCAAGATATTTTTCTTTAATAAATAATAATAAATTTTGAAATTTTTCTGAAAAATCTGATGATTTATTTTCATTTAATTTTTTTATATATTGATCAAAATCATCCTCAATCATTGAAAACATTTTACTATCAATGTTATGTAAATGTAATAAAATTTCAACTGCTTTAAATTGAATGAAACTACTTGGAGCTTTATTAAGTGATTCAATTGCTAAATAATAACAAAGACCATATGTAGAAGTTTGAGTAGACTTTTGAATAAGGTTTTGTGCAAGATCCAATATTCCAAACCATAAGGTATGTGGTAATGCAATAGGTTCATTTCCAGCGAGATCATTTAAGAAACTTCCTGTGTTTTTTAAAGCTTTAGTAACTTTTTTTGATACTTCATCAAATTTTGTTTGAGAATCTAAAATAGATTTATTTGTTACATCAATCCATTCTCTTTCCAAAAAGCTCCAAAGATGTTCCATTAATACCAATTCACAGAATTTTTTACTAATTATCATTTCAGTACCTTCAGACCAGGTAAAAAGATTATGTTGAATAATCAACATAGTTCTCCAATCTACATAATAAGGTGTTACAGGATATTTAAAACTTAAGCTTTCACGTATTTGTGTAAGCATTGACAAGATTGAACAATTATCATTTGGAAGAGCGACTCCTGCTGCTGATAAAACTCCTGGGGTAATATTCAATGCAACTTTAAGCAATTCTTTAGTTCTTCGTATAATTTCTTGAATCCAAGTTTCATCATCACGCAAACTATGTAATGTGTCTCGTAAGTGGATTAATAAGAAGTCAATGTTATAATTACGCTTTTTGGTGATGATTTGGTCATCTTGATTGTTGTTTTGTTGGTTAAATTGGTTAAAATTTGATCTATAATTCTTATCAAGTCCTATTTCAAAAACTTGAGTCGTTTTACGATGAATTTCTGCAAATTTTGATAAAGAATTATAAACTTTATCTCGAAGTTCTTTACTAAGTATTATTAGTGAAAAGCATATCCGTTCTAAGACTGTTACCCAAGTTCTCAAATGTAACTCCAATATAGCCACACTTTGTTTTTCATAAAAATCGAATGGGGTCGGATCCGCCAAGGCAACTAAAGTGTCTCGAAGAATTCGAGATGAAAATTCATTTTGTAAATTTTCAAAAAGTAATTTTAATGCAGATAAATATTTTATGTCTGTCAATTCTTTAATAAGTTCTTTTGCCTTTTCATCGGGAGTTGTAAATCCATCCTCTTCTAATTTTAAAAGAATACTATTGTTGAAGAAGTTTTCATGCGAAGCCGTTTTATATGAAAAAACAGAGTCGTGAATTTCTGGAATAGTATTACTAGAAGAACTTCCGCTCTACATATTTATAAAATTATTATAAACCCTATTTTTAATTAATTAAAATATTTAATATTACTTAAAATTATAATTCACCTGACTTGAACTTCCTTCCATATTTTTTTTTTTTTTTNTCACAAATCATTTGACTAGACTAATTAGGTTTGAGTACAGGAGTACATACGCAGTCATTGTTACACATGATTGACTTTATAAGTAGACCGTTCCGAAAATTTTTTTTTTTAAATTTATTTAAAAAAGTTTACAATAATATATTTCATTATGTCTGCTATTAGAAAAGATTTAATTTATACTACACATATCAAAGCACGTGCACTAACGGATTATAATATTCACAAAGATATGCACAAACAATTTGAATTTCAAAAACAAACAATTCTTGCTGATGAATTACTTACAAAAGATGAAAAATCCGAAGCAATAAGAATTTTGACTGCAAATTATGATAGAGGCAAACTTGTTTATAATAAAGGAACAAGAAGAGTTTGTGAAAATTGTAACCAAAAATGTTTAGCTACATTATATTGTGAATATTGTGTTCGAAATTATTTAAAAAATAATTTTTCAAATTGGACATCTGGAAATGATGATATTGATAATTTAATACAAAAATGTCAGTTGGAAACACTCTTGTCCTGTCTCTTATACACATCTAGATGTGTATAAGAGACAGCATATAAGGTGATATTATTTATCTTTCATTCTCTTTTACCCTTTTTTTCCCTCGAATAATTCAAATATTGAAAATAAAGATTAAAAAAATTACTAAATCGATCTATCGTTAAATTGTTTAATAAAAAAAAATTACTACTAACCTAATATGGAATAGATTAGCATGGCAGATCATGTGTTTCATATAAATTATTTATATACGGTGACCAAATTTTTTTAGTTATATAGATTATACTGTACGTAAGTATTATATAAATATGTAATAATAGAATTAAATAAATAAACTTACTCCCTATATTATTAAATAATTTTTTTGAATAAAGAATTTAGTTAATTTAAAATTATCATATAAATATATATAATAAAAACTAAGCAAACAATTTATAACTTACAATCTATATTATTAAATAATTAAAATAGTTAGTTTAAATCATATGTAAATATTATACTATATGTATTAAGTAAATAATTGACTTTTAGCTTACCAACTATAATAAATTATCAAATAATTTTTAAATAGTAGTAAAGAATATATAGTTAATTATGATTATCATACAGACCATTAAATTTATATAAGCAAAAATTAAGAGACACAAAAATTTTCTTTCTTAGTAAATGGTAACCCAATATAAATTACTACAAACGAAAATTATTCCTTTATAATAGACATGCGTGATATTATTTATTAATAGAATCTCAAATACACTATTAATAATGCTGTAACCATCCAGACACCCACTCGGCCAGCAAATGTATACATTGAAAGAATCTGTTTATTCATTTATTAGAAACTATAAAATCATTAACTTTAAACTGCTATGTAAAAATTAATATCCTATATAAATACTATTTAAATCATTTTTCATATATACGATAGAATACCCCACTAATTAGCACATAGTAAAACTTAGTTTTTCTGAAACTTTAGTGTCTTGAGCGCCATATTCAGTTGTCTCATTCAGTTAATCCAGTTAATTACGAAAAATAGATAGAGGATTGTAAGAGACTTTTTAGTAAAACAAGAATTATTTTAATACTTAACTTCTTATAAGCATTAAAATAAGTATATCTTATTCATTAACCAATAAAATTAATAATATAAACGTATATAAAGCGGACGTGACACGCATGTCGTATATAGACGCTTCCCTTCAGTAAATACCTGATATGTCATGATGTTTTAAAATGGAAAACTTATAAATTATAAAAGATTTTTCATATCAGAGAAGCAACTTATTATAAGTTAAACTTTTTATGAAAGTTAAGCATTCAACTTTTGATTATTTTAGATAGTTATCATTAAAAAAGAAATATTATGAATATTTTTTATATTACAATTTTTAACATATATAATGTTAGTTTATCAATTTATCTTTCTTCTATCAATCCTTATCTACATTAAAATCTAAATTTATAATTAAATTTGTCTAATATTAGTAATATATATTTAATAGTTACAGTATTTACGATCATCGTTAATTGCTGCGTCTTTAGGCAATTTATGCAAATAATAATTTTTTTTTTTTTTTGAAATCCTTTAAAATAAATGGTAAAGTTGGATTAATTAATTTAAAAAAATTGAAATCAAAAAATAAAAGTTTAAATCAATTAAATTTTCGATGTATCGGAAAAAAATTTTTCCTTAACAATGAAAATCACAAATCATTTGACTAGACTAATTAGGTTTGAGTACAGGAGTACATACGCAGTCATTGTTACACATGATTGACTTTATAAGTAGACCGTTCCGAAAATTTTTTTTTTTAAATTTATTTAAAAAAGTTTACAATAATATATTTCATTATGTCTGCTATTAGAAAAGATTTAATTTATACTACACATATCAAAGCACGTGCACTAACGGATTATAATATTCACAAAGATATGCACAAACAATTTGAATTTCAAAAACAAACAATTCTTGCTGATGAATTACTTACAAAAGATGAAAAATCCGAAGCAATAAGAATTTTGACTGCAAATTATGATAGAGGCAAACTTGTTTATAATAAAGGAACAAGAAGAGTTTGTGAAAATTGTAACCAAAAATGTTTAGCTACATTATATTGTGAATATTGTGTTCGAAATTATTTAAAAAATAATTTTTCAAATTGGACATCTGGAAATGATGATATTGATAATTTAATACAAGAATGTCAGATGAAAACATTTGACCCGAATGTCATAATTGAATGGATTCCATATGATAATTTAAAAAATACTAAATATTTAACAAAAGGTGGATATTCTGAAATTTATACGGCAGAATGGGTTGATGGATGTTATTATGAATGGGATTCTAATCAACAACAATTAAAAAGATTTGGAGGGCAGTATGTAGTGCTTAAAAGATTAGAAAATGTTGAAAGTGCAAATAAACGTTGGTTTGAAGAGGTTTGTAATCTAAAAATGGTATAGCAATTTTTCATTTAAAATTTTTATAATATTTCTTTATTTTATAGGCTAATTCGCATTTAAATATATGTAATAAATGGTCAGATGCGATTGTCAAATGTGTTGGTTTAACAAAAGATCCATTAAATGGAGATTATATGCTTGTAATGAATAAATTGGATGCAGATTTAAGAAAATATTTACAACAAAATCATAATCAACTTACATGGAAAGAAAGAATTCAAATGGCTGATAGCATAATAATGGCACTTTCACGAGTTCATAAAGAGAATGCGATTCATAGAGATTTGCATTCTGGAAATATATTATTCCAATTTGGTGGAATATTTAATATTAGTGATCTTGGATTTTGTGGACCTGCAGATAAACCATTAAAGAGTGTATATGGAAATCTTCCTTACGTTGCACCGGAAGTTATTGCAGGAAAATTAACTACTTTTAAATCTGATATTTATAGTATTGGCATACTTATGTGGGAAATTTCATCTGGACAACCACCATTTATTAATTGCGAACATGATTATAATCTTGCAATGAATATTGTTAATGGTATAAGACCAAAAATTGTATCAGGAACTCCTTTAGAATATAAAACTTTAATGATACGATGTTGGGATGCCAATCCATCGAATAGACCAGACATTAAAACACTTAGAAAAAGAATAAGAGAACTTAATTTAGACTACCAAAATAAACCAAATGAATTATTAACTCAAATAGAAGAAGATAATAGTTCGGAAATAAGTGGTTTAGAAAAATATACTAATAGTAGCAGATGCTCTACGAGTAAAGTTCATCAATTTGAAAATCTTCCTGAACCAAGAAATGCAACAGAAGGTATTATTGAAATTTGCTATTTGATTTTTAATTTATATGGTTGATATTAATAATTAAAATCTTACTTATTTAATTAAATAATAATGCAGAAGAACAAGAAGGTATGAATTAAACATTACAATTTATATATATTTTTTATTTTAAAATAATTAAATAATAAATTATTCTCTTTTATTAGCATTTCACAGTAATAAATCATATAACTTTCATATTCCCAATAATAGTAAGTATATTAGACATGTTAATAGAATAAGATTCTTTATTTGATTTATTTTATCTATCATTAGTTGATGATTTTGATAAGTTGAATAATCAGAAGAATGGTTCAAAAATAATTAGCATTTTTAAAGGTAATTTATAAACATATTTAATATTAGGTCTTTAGTGGATAATAAAAAAATTAATATTTTAATTTTAAACTTTTCAGTTGGTAGTAAAAAATTATCCAAAGTATTCAAAAAGAATTCAAAAAATGGCAAGTAGAATAATTAATATTAAATTTAATTGTTTAATATTAAACATAGCATTATTTTAATTTTTAGATATTCAAGAAACAATGCAACAACAAATAAAAAAATATCATGATAATATTGACGGTATGTAATATAATTATTTAAACTGATTATAATAATTATAATAATGATTAATTTAATACTTTCTAAATAATTATTTTATTTGTAGATGATGAAATACATAACAATCCAAATCTTCATTCGGAAGAACAAGACGAATTGGAACTTCCGGATAGTAAGAATTCTTTATTTTTAAATTTGAAATTTTAATTAATTTAAAAAATCACTACTAAAGTCTTTTTTAATAAAATTTTAGATATAGATACATGATAACGCTATCTGCTAGTATATAACATTATTATTACACATAAAGTATTTTTATATAAATTATTTAAATTCTAGGACTAGAGTAGTAAGATTAAATATTTCTTAGTTGTAATTTAAATAATTTATTTATTTTATTTATTTTGTTTTTATATTATAACTTATCGATAAATTACTTTATAAAATTATTCAATTACTTATATATTATGATTAGAATTTTAGATGATTTTACTGAGAAGAATTGACATAATGAGCCTTTAATATTTATCTGAGAAATATGTTTAAATAGCATATACTGTATATCATCAAGTCGTGAAAATCACTGAAATTTTTATGAATTATGAAATCATATTGTAATATTATCTAATAAACACCGTATTATAATATATTTAAACATATATTTTTTTGATAATTTATAATAAAATTTGGAGTTTGAAAATTTTTTTTATAGTTCACACTTTAATTTCGATATTATATTAAAATTTTATGAGTGATATAATGAATAAGCTATAACAATTTTCTTAACTGTCTGTATTTTGTTTATTTATTATTAGTTTCAAAATAGCGTTCAAAATCATATTTTTTTTGTTGCTTCATCAATTTCTAACTAAAGATTATTATTAAAAAATTGGTTATAGCGTGTTAAGAAACAGAAGGCTGCTAGCGAGCGGCAAGTAGTAAGTAACGGAAATTGGCTAAGTAAGTAACGTAAAATTACTGTTTTAGGTCAATTTACGTTACTCCCCTTATATAAGGCACGGAACGTAAAGTCAATTATATTTACTTTACGTTACTCCCTTATATAAGGTACAGAATGTAAGGCAAATTTAAAAATCGGTTTATAAACTTAAAATTTTATTGCGAAAATATTTTAAAATGTTTTTTGCAAACACATTTATTCAAAAT